CCAACTTTCTTTGATATGATGAACTTTCACATTAATATGTGCCTTCTCTTGCGCAAGAAGAGTAGTGCGCAGTCTATCATAACTTGGAGGAATATAGCCCGTTAATTTGCTATTTGCCAAAAACAATGAATACTTCCTGAATTGAGTGTTGCGTACAAGGTTGAATGGCAACACACATGCATAGAACATCCTTGCGCATAGTTTATCAGCGTATCTTTGGCAGCAACATTGAACGCTTTTTCTAGAGCACCTGGTTTTCTTTTTTTCTGCTGCAAGAGATCCGTGCCAGGTGGCAAACTCAAATAGTCAGCTTGTCTTCTAGCTCGTATTTTTCTATTAGTCTTTTTTTTTCTGCATCTTCATGTTCTTTCCTTATAACAGCAGTAATATCATCCGAAATTGAGTTGCAAATGGTGACACCACTTCCTGGATGCCTTAGTAAGTGAGCCTTCACTTTAGAATACGATCCTGTAACTTTCTTGTGACAATAGTTACAAGACCATACTCTATTTCCTCCTCCGCCACTTGCCAAGTTAATAACTTTTACATGATTCCATAAAGGAGTATCATCAAAATCATTTTTTTGTGGGTTTAATGGTCTAAGGGTAATTTTTCTTTTCCTTTGTTGGATAAAGATATTTTGAAATTGAAACTTTCGTTTACTATGTAAAATTATTCATTTGAAAGATGATTTATGTAAGATAAATAGTATGAGTGGTAATTAATTTTTTTTTAGGTTCCGTTCATGCACATTTTTAATTTTGACTTAATTAAAATATAAAATCCCTATATACAATTACGTAATTAATCAGTTGAATTTTGGCCTAATTGAAATATAAGTCATACATGAACATAATCAGTGTACACATATCCAATTAAAATTACAGCCGCATGCATTCAGTTAAAATTACACTATCCAATTAAAAGTATATTAGTGTACACATATCCAAATAAAATTACGGCCGCATGCATTCAATGAGCATTCAATTAAAATTACACAATCCCATTAAAAGTCAATGTAATTAAAAGCCAAATCCAATTAAAAAGCCCATTTATTATGTACATACAAAGCCCATAGACACGAACAGTGTACGCATGATTAACCAGGGAATTAATGACACCCTCTATCTCTATATTTAATCATTTTATATAAATACACCCACTTATTATTTAGACAAAATTACTTTTTTTATCCTCAAACTGCTTTTTTAAAAGTCTTTTTTAGAATTTAATAATTGATTGGTTTTTCTCTCTCCTTTATCTTTCTCTCTCCACGAAGTTGCTTCCTTCTTCGTCTCCTTTTTCTTCATCTTTTTTTTTTTCTATTCACGATTTTTATTCATTATTCTTACCCTTTTTCTTTCTTCCATCTTCATTCCGTATTCTCTCTTTTTATGTTTCCTTCCTTTTTTCGGTTGTATGAAATAGATTTTCCTATTCTGATTTTCTCATAAATTTTCATCAAACTCACATCTCAATCATGGTACGACGCCTGGTACACATATCCAAATCTAGTTCTAGACTTTTGTCGCTTCTTCAATCCCTGCAAGAATGTCGCTGGTACGGCAGATGCATTCGCAAAGTACTCAAGGCGGACGATATGGAAATACGAAGCCATCGGCTGGAAGATCGAGATCTTGAGTCTGGGGATGGGCTGCTTGCAAGCGGCCGACCGAGATGGGCGCCACCGTTCTCTTCATCAGGAAATCTCAGTTCGAGGGGCGCCACCATTGATTGTTATGCACTATAAGTTATTTTCATGTTGCTTTTATGTTGTTATGTTATTGTTTTGACGTTATTGGAAATTCTACCTCTGTGCCTTTGTCTATTTTTCTAGCTGTTATGCAGGATTTGGGATTCAGCCTCTTTGACTAAGTTGGAAAATTGTCTCCGCTGTGATGATGCCTCTTTGGATATTTTTCCACTTTTCTAATCTTCTGTGTTTGATGTCTTTGGATATTGGGTCTGTTTCGAGTTCCAAAGCCATGGGATCGAGTATGCTCTTCAATTGTGCTTTTCGATTTATGCGATAACAATTGTTTTATGTTACTTAAATGTTGTTTTCATGTTGATTAACTGTTGTTACTTTATTATTTTGTTGTTACATCAAATATTTTTTGAATGACTATAATTTATATGTACGCATTTTATTTTATTATTGTTATTGTTGTTGTTAATTTGATTCAACAATTTTTTCATGCTTTTATTTAATTTAATTGTTACGTGTATATATAACATATTGATTTTTTTTTTCTTAGGTATTCATGTTTTAAGAAGAAGAAGAAGAAGAAGAAGAAGAAGAAGAAGAAAGAAAGAAGAGAGAAGAAAAAGTGGAACGAGATGTAAGAGTGAAAAGAAAGAGAGAGAAAGAAAAAAGAGGAAGAAAGAGAAAGGAAGAGAGAGAGAGAAAAAGACGATGAGAGCAGTTGAATTTTTAATTATTGTAACTTCCGATTGAATCATATTTGGAATTGTGTATATTTTGTGCCTTTTATAAAATTGTTTTTTTATGAATTGGTTAGGTATGTGCATTTCCCCTAACCAGGCAGCCACATACAATTAACCTAATATCTTTCCAAAGTCGCTCAAGCGTTTTACTCACGCACGCTTCGTCTTCTTCGGCCCTTCCAAGTTTCCAACGTCTGAATTCAGATCCGTTCTTGCCTATCCAACTTCAAATCCGTTCTTGCCCTTCCAACTTCAGACGTCCATTAGCCTTCTCCCATCACATTTTTGACCGCCGAGCGTCAAACTTCAACCCGCCTTGACAGCAGTCCGTAGTCAACGTATCCGGCCTCTTTTGACTGAATCGGAGCCGGATTTCGTACCTGTATCCATGTCGTGTCGTGTCGACACGGGTACGCCGGCGGTAGGTGGCGAGTCCGGATAACATAGATCATGCTTACGAACCGAGCACTCGAACACAGCTACATGAGGACAACATGCCATCGCGACGCACGAGCATCGTTCCCATGATGGTTCCCAGGTCTCGTGGCACGACAGCACACGAGGCATCGCGCGAACATCACGTTGAGACGCCCGTAACAACATAAAAGAGACCAACAATGTCTTAGGCACCGCGTCGCAAGGGATGCCGTGTCGCAACAGTACCCATGGCGTCGCGCGGTCGTCATGCCGCGACGCCCGTCACGAGGTGACATAGACGAGCGACGAAGAAGGCACCACGCGTGATGCAGCGTGAACTTGGATGGTGAGGTGTGGCAGTTAGGAGCTTGAACAACGACTATTTTCAATTTTTGTTTTCAAAATCTTAGGATTTTGTAGTGTGCTTGGAAATTTCGGTTTTTCTTTGTTTGGTTTCAAAAATTATGTAACTTTCATTTGGGTAGATTATGCAACAACAAAATCAGAAAAAACTTGTTTCCGAGCACAATTTATCGTGTCAACCGACGGCCATTTAGTGCGGATTTTATAAAGTCGAGTGGTCGGTACACGATCTTCATCATTAGTGCTTTCTTTAAAAGAGTCGATCGTCTATCATCATGTTGAATCAGGAGAGAATCGATTGCTTAGAACAAAACGTACAATCAACGAAGACATGAAATCAACCAACTAATCAAGTGGTGGCTAGAATCGAGCGGATGCCTCTCCAAACCATCGGACGGAGAGCACGGAGGGCGAAAGCTCGGACCAGTCATCGAATGAATCAATCTTTTTCTGAAAAGGAACTTGAGTTTTATAATGAGTTCGCGGATGAAGAGAACGACCGTTGAAGGGGCTCGAATCACCGAGAAAGGCGCAGAAGTGAGAAGCCAAAACTGATTTTGTTAAGTGACCAATGCGCTTAACAAGAGAAACCCAGATTCGTGGTTGAGTCGCCAATCAATATTTCAATATCAATGAAATATCGAAGGCGAAAAGGGTATAATACACTGCCTATTACCTCGATGGGGAGGCGAACACACGGTGGCAGTGACTATCAAGGGTGTACAAGAAAAAAGACATTCAAATCCGTTGGAAATTTTTTGACAAAGAGTTGATTACGCGATTTGGGTCGTCGGATTACCATGATTACGATGAAGCGTTGTCGCATATCAAACAGATGGGAAGTTTGCATTACCAAAAGGAGTTCGAGCGTATCCCGAGTCATGTTTGTGATTGGCCAAAAGGTGCATTAATAGGGGCGTTTATTGGGGGTTTAAAGCTCGATTTGGCTGAAGTAAGCGTCGAGAGATCGAGGACGATGCGAGCAGCCATAGAGGCCGCATGCATAAGAGAAGACCATCTAGCAGCCGTCCGCAAGGCCAACCGACTGGAGGTGCACAACCTGATCCAATTTCCATCAACACGCAGAAAGTCGGTGACAATGCGTCGACAGAAAACACGAGAGCGATACCCATGGGGGTTCGGGGTTGCTTAAGGACGAGATGCAGAAACGAAGGTAGAAGGGCCTGTGCTTCAACTGTGACGTGAGATTTACGTTAGATTATAGGTACAAAAAGAAACAGTCATTTCTCATCGAGCACGTGGAGTCTGACGAGGGACGACAAGAGGAAGATTAACCTATGTATGACACAGGTCATCATGAGGACGACCTAGAGATTTTGATTCATGCAATGGCTGGGACCCAAAGGCGAATACAATGAAATTGTCGGCGCGGCTGCAGGATCGCCAAGTGGTGGTTTTAGTCGATGATGGATTATCTCACAATTTCATTAATTCTTCTCTTTCCTACGAACTGAAGTTACTGGTGACTAACGTGTATCCGTTTAACGCTAGATTCGCTAGAGGGAAACAATTTTGGTGCTCTTAAGTCTTACAGAGTGTACCATGAGGTTGAGGGCGTGACACTAAAGGCCGATATCTATGCACTGTCGTCGGTAGGACCAGATGTCGTTTTGGGAGCTCAATGGTTGGAACAATTGGGGCTAGTCACGATGGATTATAGAGTCGGTACAATGGAGTTTCGGAAGGGTAATAGTCTGGTCAAGTTAAAAGTCAGGGTTAACGACGGGGTTAAGGAGGTGATCTTGAAAAACATGGAGAATGTGTGGAAAAGCGGCAACCAGTTCTTCGCGATTGGAGTAGGCGGGGTAAACATGGAGAACGGGCACACCACGTTGTTCATCTCATCCAATAAAAGCGAGGGCTGGATCGAGATGTATGTCCTTGAGGAACAGTTTGAATATAATTCACATATTGTTTCTACTCTGATTAATATGCATGGGAAGTGTGGGAATTTGAAATCTGCGCCACGTGTATTTGAAAATATGCCTTTTAGAATCTAGTTTTCTTAGAATACTATGATATATAGAGTTGCTTATTATGGGCATGCACATAATTCGCTCGTCTTATTTCAATGCATGTTGGATGAGAAAAAAGGTTTTGTGTCTGGATGATATCACTTTTGTCGGGGTTCTTTTTGCATGTGTTCATGCGGGTTTGATGAGTGAAGGTCATAGATTTTTTAATACGATGAATTATCCTTTGGACTGGACTTCGAGAGCTGGGGCGTGAATGTACAACCATATTCATGTACATCTACTAATTTCACGGTGTATACATGGTTTTTGCTGTCGGATGATGAGATTATGAGGTTGGACAAACCTTTTGGATAGAATACAAGCCAGGGGTGTAATTGGTCAAATGATAGGAAATTTTAGGGGCGTCGAATTTTTTCTTGAGCCTGTCACATAAGGCGAACCCTCAGAATGGGCGTGTGGACTATGACAAGCTTGAGGAGAAGGAATTGGATTTTCGGCCAAAGATATTGATCTTGGGTGGGAATTTATATCCCCGAAAATGGGATTATGCGAGGTCTTGGCAGGTAACAGATAAGTATGGTACAATGATGTTATCTGATGTGGATCAGATTAACAATTTTGTAGCTTCAAATGAGTGCATAAGCCCTTCCGATTATTGCGACAATGTTACGTCAACAATCCATAAAAGTCTTTGGGATCTGAGAGGAGGAATTATTTTCTATAAGAGAATCTACAAGGATATACTCGAAGAGGGTAGGAATGATGCGAATCGAGCACCCGAGCACAGACGCACGAGGACAACAGTCTGTCGCGATGCGCGATCATCATTCCCAAGTTGAAATGTTTGCAGGTCTCGCGGCACGAGAGGTGTCAGCACGCTAGGCGTTGCGCGAACATCACGTTGCGACGCGCATAACGACCGAACAGAGACAAACGATGTCTCAAGCACCATGGCGCAAGGGGTCCCGTGCCGCGACAGTACGCAGGGCATCGCTCGGTCATCACGCCGTGACGCCACGAGCCAACAGAGACTAGCGATGAACAAGGCATCGCAGCGTATGGGGTGTCGCGCCGCGATGCGGCGTGAATATAGATGGTGAGGTTTGTTTTCAAATTCTTAGGATCTTGTAGTGTGCATGGAAATTTCGTTTTTTCTTTGTTTACCTTTAAAAACTATGTGTAACTTTCATTAGGATGGATTATTTAATAAAAAAACCATAAGAAGCTTGATCTTTAGCACAATTTCTCGTGTCAATTGACGGTTATTTAGTGTGGGTATTAACAAAATCGAGTATTCAATACGCAATCTTCATCACATGCGTAAGACTTACGAGGATGTAACTTTTCATTTTATGCAATGAGCGTGTTTTATGAAAATGTAGGTATCGCCAAGTTCCTGTACTTATATCATGTGTAAGATAAGTAAGGATGTAACATTTTATACATACCACGATATTTTTCGAAAATGTAGGTATCACCAAGTTCTTATTTGGTTTAGTAGTATATATTTAGAAGTAACATATGCATAATATTTAGGATGAGTTTCATTATAAAACCAAAAATCCCACCTTGAATTTGATTTTATAAAATAAATATATAATATTATAGTGGTAACTTATTTAATTACATAAATTATTTTTGATAAAATAAAATATATTTGATTAAATAATAACTCGTATGTGATGAATGTAGCACCAAATCCAAAAATATGACATCAGTAAAAAGGGCTTATGTAAGATAATTTTACCTGATCATGACACATGTCGCTTTGGCCGAGTGGTTAAGGCGTGTGCCTGCTAAGTACATGGGGTTTCCCCGCGAGAGTTCGAATCTCTCAGGCGACGTTTTCTTATTGTATTTGACCGGTTTTTCTTTTTTTTTTTTTTTCTAAAAAAAAAAATATGTTAATGATTAGACAAACAGAATAATACCTACCTATTTCTAATACAACGGTGTTTACTTCTACAAATAAATCGCATTATCAAGAGTCTATATAATAACTTACGGGGTTGTTTTAGTGGTCTTGTAATTGTACTATCATTCTTATTATTATCCTCATTAAATCAAAGGTGCACATGGGAGCCTCCTGCCTGAGCCTCGTCCCCCTCCTCAAAGCTTTCCTCCGCCGCTCAGCAACGGCGGCCGGCCTCACCTCTCAGGCAGCGGCCATCGACGGCGACACCACCATCCACTTCTGGGGCCCACCTCCGGCCACCGCCGCCGCCTCCTCCAAGCCGAAGCTCGTTTTCATTCACGGCTTCGGGCCCGCCGGCATTTGGCAGTGGCGGGATCAGATCTCGTTTTTCGCCGGAGAATTCGACGTCTATGTGCCGGACCTCGTTTTCTTCGGCGGCTCTTTTACCGAGTCCGCCGGCCGGTGTGAGATTTTTCAGGCGACTTGTTTGGCGAAACTACTTGAAAAGCTCAGAGTTTGCAGGTAATTAATTAAATTAATTATTAGTAATTTTGAGGCGTCAGATCACGTGCGCACGAACGTTTGTGCAAATGTGTGTTGATCTAATGACTCAGACTGTCAGACACGTTTGAGTACGAATTTTACCCTAATGAACATGGTATAAAATTAATAAATAAATTAATAGTTGTATGTGTATGCTTTATTATTTGTTTTTCAAAAGTCAAAAGAGGAATAATAACAAATATGTAACTTATGAGATGCTACTTGATTAAAAAATTAAATTGCGAATAAAAAATATGTAGCCCAAACATGCAAGAAAATACAAATAATTGTAGAAATAATTTCATTTCAATTAATAAATACGTACGTATGTACCAAATGTAGGTACTCGCTGGTTGGGACGAGCTACGGAGGTTCCGTGGCGTACCGCATGGCGGCAATGTGGCCGGAAAGGGTCGAGAAGGTGGTGATCGCCAGCTCAGCCGTGAACCTACGAAAACATGATAACGACGAGCTTTTGGGGAAAGCAAAATCCGACAAGATTGAGGATTTGTTGATGCCGGTCACGGCTGTGCAGCTTCGGACTTTGCTTCGTCTTGTGATTTTCCGGCGAGTGTACCTTCCCGATTTCATACTCAACGATTTCCTTCATGTGAGTAATGGTTTACATATTTTTTACTATTATTAGAGGGGAAAAAAAAAAAGAAACACCCATTTTAGTTCNGATTGAACCAAATTTCTAACTATTGTATTTTGGATTGATCGATCGTCTTGCAAGAATTAAATAAATATCTTCGTGCATTAAATGTAATTAGTAAGTTGAGCAATTGGTGGTTGGATTTGGGCCCAGAATTTGTTTTCTGAGAACAGGAAAGAGAAGGTGGAACTCTTGCAAGGATTGACAATTGGACAAGATGACACTCTCAACATATCTCCCCTCTCACAGGTTTCATTTGATATAAAGCTCAAATCATTATTTAGTTGAATCATTATTGATATATGGTAGCTTTGATAGCGTCTAAGTTTTTGGTAAATTATTATTAAAGCATAGCAAATAAATGATCGAATTATCTAATAATGCATAGTTGATTTGATGATGAGCTGGTTATAAATAATTAATTGTTAATACATAAAAATAATTAATTTTACAGTTCCCCATTCCAAGAAGCACATATATTAATCATTTTCGAAATTAGTTTATTGATCTAAAAAGTTATTTCAAATTAATTTAACACCAAAACGCTCTTTACCATATATACAAGGCCATCATCTTAAAATTCATGAAAATTCTTATTTTTGTATTCATTTTGTTTTGTTTTCTCATAAAATGCAGGAAGTGTTGATTGTGTGGGGTGAGCATGACCAGATATTTTTATTGGAGAAAGCCGTGGAGCTCAATAAGTATGCATTAACTGCTAATCTTTTGTCAACTAACTAATAAATAAGCTAATCTATCATTAATGATTTAATACTTATATTAATTTTATTTTGTAATTTCAGATTGTTAGGGGAAAATGCCAGGTTACAAGTCATACAAAGAGCGTCTCATGCTCCCCAGCTTGAACAACCGGGAAGGTTCAACAGCATTGTTAAAGATTTCTTCAATGGGCAACTGCAATAATTTCGAAATTAATTCAAACGTTACTTGTTGTAGCCCTATTTCAGATGTTTTTTGTTATTATGTTGTGACTTGAATTTTATATTGTATGTTTGTTTTATGTAGCTAGCTAGTGTTGTAGTGCGATACACGAGGTATATACAATAAGAATAAATAAGATAAAATAATATTTAATATTATTTTTATTTATTCATTGTTAAACACATAATAGTTTAATGATTAATATGTTGATGCACATTATTTCAAAATATTTTATAAATTTGAAATGTGATATTTGATATTTTAATTATTTAGTATTTTTTAAATAGTAAATATCTTTTTATGAATATTTTCATTGTTAGTTTGAGTTATAGTTTACTTGGTGGTTTGCTGGACATGCGACAACCATTAGTTGATTGTTTTATTGTTATATTTTGAAACGTAAAATAATTATTTGCTCTCAATTATGCACACATTTTTTATACGTTTTTTTAACCAATTAGTGCATATCCCGTGCGATGCACGGATAAGTTCATATTTTAAATAATTTTTTAGCTTTATTTAAATATAATTGGTTATATTTTTCACATCTCATCTCACTGTGGAAATAAAAAAAAAAATACAAATAATGAAAAATATATATTATTAATATTTTTTATTTAAGGAATATTATTAAACATTGCAGTTTTGATTTTTTTTATTAAAGGAAAATCAATTATCCAATCAATAATTGTTAATATACAAAAAATATTTGAAAGACTTTAAAGTAAAGCTATTTTTAATTTTTATTTTTACACATCAAAATCATCTAATTTTTTTAAGCACTTTCATATCATAATTTCAATGTTACTTCATACCAATTTATTCAATGATCAACCATTAGTCAAATTAATGATCAAATTTAGAAGAGAGATTCAAATATTATCCTATATCATCGTTTTTCTTTCTTATTTATTTTATTTTTTATCAAACAAATAATAGAAAATCCTATTCCCATCATATGTATAATTATTATAAAATCCAATTCAATCTAATTGAAGTAACAATTTAAAATTATTATAATATCAAATTCAATATAATTAAACAAATTAGACAACATCACGTGGGTTCAACAAGCGGTGTGGAAAATTTTTCTCTCTCTAAAAACCGATCCCCAATTTTTCTCTCGCCGATAAAAATCAGTCATCGTCGCCTTTCTCTCGGCCTTCTGCTTTGCTAGTAGTCGTCCTTCGTCGGCCGACCCTTCCCAGATGCTGCGACCCTGCTCGCCACAGGTACCGGTGGTTTTTGTAGTCGTCAAATCAGACTCGCCTTCTGCGACAGGTGGGCTAGGGTTTGCGATTGCCGGTCTTCTCGGTGCGGTGGTGGGTTCATAGGTCGCGATGCGATGGGTAAGGGTCGAGTTTGGCTCCGGCTGTTCGCCTTCTTGGGTCGGAGGTCTTTGGCTACTCAGGCGGCCTCTCTCCGAACTCGCCTTCAACGGATTGGACGGACTTCTGGGTTCATTTCTTTCGGTCGCTGAGGTGTGCTGGGGTCTGTCGGTCTGCACTGTTCATTTTCGCCGGCGGAATGGTGATTGTAGGCGGCGAGCTTTTGATTGAAGATTGGTCGAAATTTGGGTTTGCTGGTCTCGATTGAGGGTGAGTTTCCTCTTCTTGTCGTTCTTGTATCAGTTCTCTTTTGTCTGCAACTGGCGGTGCTCTGTCTTTTCTCTGTTCTCTCCGAAGTGTGGAGGAGCTCTGTGGCTGCGGCTTAATGTGGGGAGGCAGTGTTGGTTCGGGGTTGGGTCCTTTTGTGGCTGAGGTGTCTTTGTGACTAAGGGATGGTGGGGCTGTGGCTGAAGCATTGAGACAGGTTCTCTTCCCCCGGTTCTCTGGGTTCCGGGGTGCTCACTGTTCTTTCAGAGTCCGCTAGTGGTGTTAGGGGGACTCGGTCTGGTGGTGTTGGGAGCTTCTCGGTGTTTTCTGGCGTTGGGAGAATTGGCTTTGGGTAGGATTCGTGGTATGAGTTTCGATTCAGCTAGGCATTTTGGCAGTGGAGGGGTCGCTCTTCTCATGCTGTTGAATCCCCCTGGGTTGATTTGGTGGCTGCTAGTCAGGAGAGGATTTGTTGTAGAGGGAGGGCTCGTGTGTTTTTTATTGTCTTTTCAGTGTTTGTTTTGTAGTTTGGTTTCTATGTTTTGTGATTGTGTTTTTGGTCTGGGCCTTTTGGCCTCTGTGAACTCGATTGTCACCTTATTATCCCATTGGGATCCGACACTCGGGTATTACTCTGTTGGGGTCTTTTTAGTTGTTGTTAGTTGTTTTAGTTTGTTTTAGTTGGTTAGTTTTAGTTATGAGCTTTATTCTAGCGTTGCTAGCCGGGACTCTAAGCGGTGTTCTGACCTGTCCTCCCGCTTTTTCAGTTGTTGACTATTGTATATTCAGTCGTTGGCTGTTGTGTATTCGCACATTTGTGCATTTTGATTTATAATATAATCTATCGTTTTGGAAAAAAAAAAGATAAGATAAAATTTACCCAAAAAATCTGTTTGGGATCTTTTTCTTTAAATGTTTGAAAAATCTAAGAACCAAATTTAGATTATTTCACATAAGGAAAAAATAAATAATATATGTTTATTAATAAATTTAAAAATATAATTTTGAATTTCATATAAAGTAAAATACATGATAATTCAAATTTATTTTTAAAAAGTTTCTAAAATAATTAATACTTTGGTAATTATATATGTAACAATATTGTGTACCATTTTAATTTAAAAGTAAACTGACTATATATGATTTATAAACACATAATTGTTGCCCTTCCTGACAATTTTGTAGGCCGATGTATACTCAATCAAATGGACATTCTGTATGATTTGGGAAAAAAAGAAAATTAGGTCTCTGAAATTGATTGCTATCAAAATAAAAAGTTAGGGTACGTAGAAGAATAAGATTGTAGAAAGAAAAAGATAGGCAAAGTTTCACGGGTGATTGTACCGTCAGGTACCCCTCGTACATGCCTCGTACATGCATAACAGCAGGTACCCCTCCAATTCCTGCCAAGTGTCCCTTTTCATAATTAAATTAAAAAAAAAAAATAAAAAAATCGTATAGGTTAGTACAAAAATACCCTTACTTGAAAATACTAATTAAAAAAAATGTTTAACTATAAATATATTTACTTATAGGTGTTTCATTAATCATATATTATTATTATACCCAAACACATTAACATATTTCAAATAAACCTCTTCTTATATTGAAATTACATTTTCTTGTATTCATCATCATCGGAATTCATCTTCATCCTCTCCATGTTTCCAATTTCCGAACAGAGCACCGGCAGCAGCAAAAATTAAAACGATCGAACATTTTGCAATCGTTCATGAATTCATGGCAATCGATCTCTTCTTTTTCGCGTTGGTTTCAAACAGTTAAATCGAAATGTTTTGGATTCCAATCGCAGGCACGATAAACGAAAGTGAAACCATATTCTGTCAATTGTTCATTTGTATTTCGAAATTCTTTTTCAAATTTAGCGATTCGGGTATGTGTTAATTAATATTCATATATATGTTCGATCATTGATATTTTGCGATTTTTCCCTCTTTCTGCAATTTCAATCGCAGGCACGATAAACGAAAGTGAAACCATATTCTGTCAATTGTTCATTTGTGTTTCGAAATTCTTTTTCAAATTTAGCGATTCGGGTATGTGTTAGTTAATATTCATATATATGTTCGATCATTGATATTTTGCGATTTTCCCTCTTTCTGTAATTTAATTTGATGATTTTTATTTGAGGATGCGGGTTTTTGAAGTGTTATTTATGATATACTTAGCAAACAGTTTACATTCTCGACATGTATGAGGATGATGACTATGTTGTATTTATTCCTTAATGTGCTTGCCCGATTGTCATATAATCTTGGTTGACTAAAGCCTTTGACGGATAATCAGAGTATGAAGAACACATTCTTCAACAGCAGAAGGGCTAAACTGTGTAGGAAACTACTTGGAATAGTTTGCAGGTACATGCTCATTCATTCAGATACTATTAATTAATATTTATCACAACTTATTTTATGGGATAAATTTAAGCTCATTTGTTAGGTTCAAATTGAGTAAAATAAATAAATTTTTATTTTATTTTAAATTTATGGTCCAACATTTCGCACCTATTTATTTAATTGGAATATAGTAAGAATGTACAAATTATATGAGAATAAAACTGGAACATAATAAATATAATTTTGAATAAATAAATCAATAATTGAAACCTAATCATTCTCAACAATATGCATATATCCGTATATAATATTATGTTCATTACTGTATTTTATAGCCTTCTATGATTGAATAAAAATTTAGATTCACACATACCGAATTCAAGCATTCCCAATAGATGGCCAATGTCATTGGTGAGAACCCTTGCAATCTTTTAAACACTAAAAATTGTTAGTATTCCCAAACGTTTGTTTGCTAATGATTCCCTTATGTTTTGTGTTGCTAATGCAAACCAAGCCTTCTTGTTACTTAGCATTTTGCACAAGTATCATATATGTTCACAGGGCAACGAGTGAATTTGGAGAAATCTTCTATATTTTTTTTAGTGAGAACACTTCCAGGCTGCTTTAGTTAAGCATTTGTCAAACTTTAGATGGAATTCAAGTGCACATATCATCTTGATACTTTGGGGTATGATTGGATACCAATTGGTAGTTAATTTAACTGATTAATTACTGGTAAAGTAGATATATTAAACTAGTTTTTAACTAGATATGAATTTGTCCTACTCCATTTGCGCCCACGAAAATTCCACTACCGCACTGCTGTGACAGCAAAATTGTTGGCCATTCACATGATTGTTCTTTCAATAAAAATAAATAAATAAATAAATAAAAGACATGTGGTTTTGGTGGTTTTGGTTTGAAAATTTGGGAGCTCAAAATGTACGGTATCCAATGTGTGCAAGTGGTTTTGGTGCCTTGGGGCGTGAACAATAAATTGGTTAAAACTTTACAACCTATTGTGGGCCCTTCACAAAACCAATCAATTTATATTAAGATTCACACATACCGATTTCAAGCATTCCCAATAGATGGCCAATTTCATTGGTGAGAACCCCTTGCAATCTTTTAAACATTAAAAATTGTTAGTATTCCCAATTGTTAGATTGCTAATGATTCCCTTATGTTTTGTGCTGCTAATGCAAACCAAGCCTCCTTGTTACTTAGCATTATGCACAAGTACCATATGTTCACAGGGCAAAGAGTGAATTTGGAGAAATCTTCTATATTTTTTCTTAGTGAGAACACTTCCAGGCTGCTTTAGTTAAGTATTTGTCAAAATTTAGATGGAATTCAAGTGCACATGTCATCTTGATACCTTGGGGTGTGATTGGATACCAATTGGTAGCTAATTTAACTGATTAATTACTGATAAAGTAGATATATTAAACTAGTTTTTAACTAGATATGAATTTGTCCTGCTCCATTTGTGCCAACGAAAATTCCACTACCGCACTGCTGTGACAGCAAAATTGTCGACCATTCACATGATTGTTCTTTCAATAAAAAAAAATAAAATAAATAAATAAATAAAAGACATGTGGGTTTGGTGGTTTTGGTTTGAAAAATTGGGAGCTCTAAATGTACGATATCCAATGTGTGCAGGTGGTTTTGGTGCCTTGGAGCGTGAGCAATGAATTGGCTGAAACTTTACAACCTATTGTGGGCCCTTCACAAAACCAATCAATTTATATCCAATCACCAACCCAACAGTACAAATCAGTCCAAAATCAATTTTTTACTAGTTTAATTGATATTCAATCGCCCCCTTGGTCTTCCCCTGGGAATAGAGAAATCTAATAAGGAGACCTCTGATTTTGTGTTAGTTTCTTTTAGAAACAGATTGATTAGCTGGAATAACAAAATTTTATCCACTGCTGGGAAAGAGGTTCGAATTAAATTTGTGCATAATGCCTTGCTTTTATTCAGTATGTCTTGATTTTGCCTGCCTAAATAATTTGCAATGAAATAGATAGTAAATGAGAGGATCACAAGCAAAGTATCTATTGGAGATCCTGGAAGCTGGTGACTATCCCAAAAGAACTAAGTGGACTAGGATTCCAGGATGTCCAACTATTCAATGAAGCCTTGATCTTAAAATAGCTACGGAGGATTGTCATAAAGCCTAATCTGTTAGTAAGCAAAATTCTTAAAGGGAAGTACTTTCCTAACTCTTAATTGTTTGAGGCTAAAAATTCTCAACGTGCATCTTGGTTATGGAATTGTAGGGTAAAGGTGAAAAATGCTTATCTTCAGTTCTTTAAAATTGAGATCGAGGATGGACTTACAACTAGAATTTCGGAGGATCCCTGAATACCATCTTTAAAATTAGGGAAACCTTTTGGTAGAGAAGATATGGATAGAAAGCTGACTTGGGTTTGGGAATTATTGGAAAAAAGGGACAAGAAGTGGAATGAGACCCTTGTTAGATCTATATTATGTGATTCCGATTGTGAGGCTGTCTTGAGGATCAATTCATTAAACCTATGAAAGACATATAGTTTTGGGATTTTGATTCTAAAGGTCTGTATACAATGTCTAAGTCTTACTCTAGCTTTATTCTTGACAAATTCAGAAGACTTGACTTGGCTGAGGGGAGTGAGATTGCGGAATTGAGTAAAAAGGTGAGGAGAAGAAGTTAGAACCTATTAACCTAAAGGTGAAAGGCAAGTTGAAAGAAATGCTACTCAGGGGTGCTGCCAGATAGTGTCAACATCAGAAAGAAATGCTTGGATGTGTATATCATATGCAAAAGTTGTGGTGAAGAAGCTGAGACCACTAAGCACATCATGTTTAACTTGAGCAAGGCCACAAGGATTTGAAAACTAACACCTCCGGATTGGGAAAGTATTCAGCCTGTCACAAGGAGTTTCAAAGAGTGGTGGTGGTGGAGTATTTGCTCATTGGACTGCAAGCAAACTTCAGAAGCCCGAACAGTTGACAAATTACATTTTCTGGTGGCTGTGGAAGGTTCTGAATCTCTAGAAATTTCAAAATACATAGATACCTGACAGAGCTTTGATCAGTGAAACTTGGATTGAATGGAGTGAATTTGCTCATGTGTAGTAGAGACAATGAAGACTTCCTTAAGGGGACATGACAACTAGGTCTTTGGGTTCAGTTAATATTTTTGCCTCCTTTGTTTTCTTTGTTTTGTGTGCAACTAAAGGTTGCAGGTTGAGTTGTCTGCCTTTAGTATGATGTTCTTGTTTTAGTGTTGACTTTGGTTTAGGACACCACTGTTTTGGTGTTCCTCTATTTTATCAGTTGGCCCTCCAATTGTAAAACGTGTTTTTGTTCATTTGTAGCATATTATATTGTTTTGAAAAAAAAAAAAGTTTCCATATCTCTTTTTTGCATACTTCAGTCATTTATTCTGCCTCGATAACGACTCCCCACAATAGCTCGATCCTACTAACTAGACCTTATCGCTTCACCCCGACCAATAGCCCCAGCTTCAGTCATAGTAGCTTGACCTCCTGCTGATTCATCCTCTTGTTCCGACCTGAATCACAACCCCAAAATCGATTCAAAACAGCTCGTCAAGCCACTACTAAACGAGCTCACCATGACGCAATATCACATCAATTCGGAGGTTGTATTTGCATAAAAGATACTAATTTTAACATAATATATACACAAATAACATTTAATCTTTTATGTAATATTTTTTAACTTAATAATCACTAAACTTTATTATTATTAGTATTATTTAATCACCAATGATGTCAAAGTCTAGAAAGTAGTAATTTCTTCTCATCCGCTTGACTTCACTTCACATCCAGAGGAGGACCCATCACCAGCCTTAACTCATACGGTCATACCGTAATCCCAAACCCGTTATTTCTTAATCGAACAAGAAAAACAATGATAAGTGCGATCTTGGTCAAATCAAATCAAATATTCTAATCACCTGTATCATTGACTGGTCAAACGTCCCAACACCGTTGGATCTCGTAGATCTAACCTAAACCCAAAACTACCTACCCTCCTCCCCCAACCACCCCCAACCCCCCATGAAAACCACATGCTCTCTCTTTCCCCCACGGCCACTCTCCGTCGTCCTCCGCCGCACTGGCATCTTTAAGTCGCCGAAATTACGCTGAAGCTGACTCTAAGATCCGCACTCCACCTCCACTGCATTCCGTAAAGTCGCGCTCCAGATCCAGCTTCTCCGGCTGACCGCTAGATCGTCACGACCGAACTTTCTCGTGAACGTCCGTTTGGTGAATTGATTGCTGTGGACCCTATTTTCAGCTTGTGCAGAAAGTAAAAAGTTTGCTGCGTAAGTTCGTAGTGATCTGCGTTTCTGAACTGAAGCTCGTCACTCGAGGATAGCTCTGTGATTAGGCTACGGATTTTGTCTAATGGATATTTGATTGATCCACGGCGACTCGGCGAGAGCTTATGGTGTTAACTTTGTGCACGCTGATTGATAACATGGGCTTACTCTGCAGCAGACAGAGACACAGCAGAGCTGATTTTGAAGACAACGAGCAGGTTTTTCCGGAAGTTCTCATATTGTTCGTTGTTTTACATCTTTCAATATTTCTGCTAGTAGTTATTCAAGCGTCTTGTAAATGCAGACTGCGGAAATCGATAGGCGAATTGAGCAGGAAACGAAGGCGGAGAAGCATATTCAGAAACTTCTTTTACTTGGTATCTGTAGTCTTGGGAACTGATTATTGGTTCTGCATAATTATAAGTATCCTTGTAATATGAACATCATGTAGCTATTTTCTTGTTTCATTTAGAATAAATGGTGTTACACCCGCACTTGTCTGACATTTTTGCATCATATCTTTAAATGGTGTTGCTGTGTTGAATGTGTTTATGTGTTGTTGTTTTTCAGGTGCTGGAGATTCTGGGAAGTCCACTATCTTCAAGCAGGCAAGATGCACTGTTCTTTTTTTTTTTTTTCCTGATAAGATCTCTAGCTATTAGTTGGTTAGTCTATGCACTTAATTCCAGATGATGAGATCTGCTAATGGCTTTTGGACACAATGCAGATTAAACTTCTTTTTCAGAGCGGATTTGATGAGGCTGAGCTAAAAAACTACATCCCTGTCATCCATGCCAATGTTTATCAGACAATAAAAGTACGAAATATAAGGAAGGGTGTGTTTGTTGTGGGCAGAGTGCAGAAAGTTTTTGGATTACATTATGAAAATTGAACGGATAGAATCTTATTTAGTAAGAATTATTCCTACAGATGTTACATGATGGATCGAAGGAACTATCTCAAAGCTCAGAGGACTCCTCAAAATTCATTCTATCCGATGATAATAAGGTTTATTTCACTTCTAATAGCTAAGACCTGCTTTGTTTAAGTCATTGTGTTAGTTAATCAGCACAATCATGAAGATCTAACAACTTTCCATAAGTGTCCGTTCCCAAGAACAGAATTAGTTAATGGTTAATTTTTTTTCCGCATCAGCAAATCGGGGAAAAATTTTCTGAAATTGGCGGTAGGTTGGATTATCCACGCCTAACTAAAGAACTTGCACACGAGATTGAAACTCTCTGGGCAGATAGTGCCATACAGGTGTGTAGTGCTTCCATCTAAATGGCCTAAAATAGTTTTGGAACTTACTGAACTTTTCTTTAATTTGTCCAATCAACTGATTGATTGTGATTTCAGGAAACCTATTGCCATGGAAATGAACTTCATGTTCCAGAATGTACCCAGTATTTTATGGAAAATTTGAAAAGGCTGTCTGATGCAGACTATGTTCCTACTAAGGTATGTGAAAGTATAGCTTGCCGCTTGCATATATCCTCTTTCCTCTCATCTAAATTTAAAGTCTGTCTTCTGGTGAAGAAAATTATTATGGTATCAGATATTGGCTGAACTACTGTAACAGGCAATTGTTATGAGAGCTCACGGCATGCTTTTACATTCAAATTGACAAAAGAGATGTAACAAGATGAACCAGTTGTATAATGGGCTTTTTCCGTACAGGGTTAATTCTATGTTTAACTGGTCAATACATTTCTGACTTGTGAACACAGGTTAATACCATTGTAATTTGTTGAGATTTTCTAGCTGTGATAGAAATGCAAACATTTCTATTCTCGTTCGGAACTTGATTTACCAAGCTGAAGTAAATAGTAAAATATATAGTTCACTACACCCGCTTCCTAGTCCGTCGTTGGCATATTTCATCTCCAGTCTGGTTACAGCGCCCAATGATAGACACTTTCTCCAGCAACTGTCAATTGCAACTAATTATTTCTCATTGGTAAATATATGAGTAGAATAATATCTCAAACAGTCACTTATTGAATGTCATCCGGCTTTCTATTACCACCTTCTTTTAATATATATATATATATATATATATATAGATATATATATATATATTATATTTAACAAGGATAGATACCAATTCCATGATTGTTCTGTTATCCATTTTTTACATTTCGAACTTGATGGGCTTCCCATGGAAATGCAGTCAGATTTAGGGTTGGCATAGTCTTATCTTTGTGCTATTGGTCTCACTGATCTGGTTGCTCTATCTCTGTGCTATTCATTTCATTGTTCTTACGGCCATATAGATTCTCTTTTTTTTTCATTTTTAATTATTTTTATGGTCATCCTTTGTCATTAGCGATCATGTATAGTGTTGAAATATGTTTTTCTTTTCTGTCGTGTAGGAAGATATTCTTTATGCCAGGGTTCGGACAACTGGTGTTGTAGAAATCCAGTTCAGGTGATTGCTGATTCACTTACTTGCAGGGGGGTAAAACAAAGATAGATGGTTCTGACATCAAGTCTATGATTTACCTGCATTTTTAACTGGACATTTTGGATTATGCCCATCTATCATCTCCAACCTTAAATCCTGCTATCTACCACCCTACTACTCCTTTCCAATTCACTTTGCACCAAAGATTTTTCATCCTGTTGAGAAGCATTTTTCATTTATATCATGGTATGTCCTGTAATATCTATATTTAGCAAGAACAATGATGGTGGTGAAGTATCTAACATCGAATGCACATGTTATCTCCAAGTGCTTTTGATTTTATATAAAGCATTACAAATATTATATAGGTTTGGGAACTGGATCTAGGTATTCTTTTATTCTTTCTTGCAGTTGAGATATTTTATTTGTTGCAAGATAGAAATGAGTGGAAATTTATTCAGTGAGAATACATGCAACAAAGCTAATAAAAGGAAACTGCACTCTGACCTTTCATGACTTCTTGGGTAGGTTATTGTTCGTGTCATTCTCAACCTTTACTATCTTGTTAAATATCAGCGCATTATGTCTTGATGTGATCTTGATTATCACTCATTGTCTGCTTGTCATTCTCATGCATTTTGATCCCCAAAATTGTTAATTTTATTTCCTATCTGCGCATCAGCATCATGGAAAGTGGAAGGGTTGTGGTGCAAATGTCTGTTTTGTGAAGCAATCTCTAATTATTATTATGTCTGCAGCCCAGTTGGGGAGAATAAAAAAAGTGGAGAGGTATATAGGCTTTTTGACGTTGGAGGCCAGAAAAATGAAAGAAGAAAATGGATTCATCTATTTGAGGGTGTTTCAGCTGTGATATTCTGTGCTGCTATAAGCGAGTATGACTAAACTCTGAACCCAAATATTTGTATAAATAAATTCTCTTCTGCACAACTGCACACACACATAAAAAATGTCACTGCAGCTCGTCTTAAGCAAAATTCTTTCTTTACCTGACGTTTGGGTACCCTTTAATCTAGGACATTACGCCGTAGCATTTGTTTATCAGTTCAGCATGCTTCATTGAATTTGATATTTAATTTATATTGTACCTGTCATCATATCTGTGTTTCAGGTATGACCAAACTCTCTTCGAGGATGAATACAAGAATCGGATGGTGGAGACTAAGGAACTCTTTGAGTGGGTCCTAAAGCAACCTTGCTTTGAGGTTCCATCCATGAAATACTACAAAAGTCTGCTTTTTGATAACATATTTATGATGCATTACCTTATCACTGATTTATTTTTTTGGCTCCCTAGCAGAAAACTTCGTTCATGCTATTTCTCAACAAATTTGACTTATTCGAGAATAAGGTTCTGAAAGTAAGTACATTTAAGAATTTCACTTGTTACACCTGGGAAGACACTTGAGATTGGATTGCAATTAACTTTAATTCTTTTAATTCAGGTCCCCCTGAACGTATGTGATTGGTTTAAAGATTACCAGCCAGTTTCTACTGGGAAACAAGAAATTGAGAATGCATATGAGTAAGCAGATATTTTGTATCTTCTTTTCAGAATTGAAACGTTGTCAATTGGCTTGCTCTTAGGAAGTCTAGCGCCCATGCATCTACTTTTATAATAGTTCTCTTTTGATTATTCGCTTGATGCTTCTGCAAAAATTGGTTTCGGCTGTTAGCAGTCTTCTTGTGCCCACTTTTGGTTTTTAACATGAGTTGTTTTTGCATGCACATACACACACATTCAAATTCTTTTAGTGCTTGTGCTCTATATCCATCTAACAAGTTTTCATAATCAGGTTTGTGAAGAAAAAATTCGAGGAGCTGTATTTCCAGAGCACTTCCCCTGATCGTGTTGACCGTGTCTTTAAGATCTACAGAACTAGTGCCTTAGACCAGAAACTTGTCAAGAAGACTTTCAAGCTGGTAGACGAGACTTTGAGAAGGCGAAACCTATTTGAAGCAGGTTTGTTGTAATGCCTGTTAAATTTTGAGGATAGAATGAGTTTCACAGTTCTGGCTTCTGAGTTTCAGACACTGAGCTGCTGGTTCGTAATTCACAGGTTATATAGCTTGATTTTTTAATGGTGCTGCTATATGGGCCGTAATTTCTGGATAATATTAATCATTTGTTTTTCTCAACCTACAACCCATTTTCTTCTCCACGAAAAGAAAAACGAAAGAAGGATGAAAAATCCCATACTAGTATGGAACAATTACCATTATGACACTTTATTCTCTGGTATTTATGTCTGTAAATGAGGGATATCTGGCTGTACATCACAATCATTTGGAGTCACATTTACTATATACTCTTAATTTGACACCAAGGAAATGTTAAAAATATTGTTTCCCAAAGTTTCTGTATTACACTTTTTCTTTATCGTCATAAACTAATCTCTCGCAGCATGAAATGTGGAGCTAACTATTAATTTCCGAAATTCTAGTAGTCTGCTTGGTCCATTCTGTGATATCGTCTTCCCTCTATTTTATTTGTGGGCGTCTGCCAACTTTCTGGTAATGGATTAAATCACCGGCACCTAAATGGGTGCTGCTGTTACGCCATAATTTGTGTTAATATATTATTCCCCAGATGAAACTGGGAGAGTTACTTTAAAATATGCAAAATAGGGATGTGGAGCATGCTAATTTGTATTCTTCCTGGTTTGGACGAGATTTCTGGCATATTTGTGATTAGAACATGTTGTGCTCGAATTAATTATACTATTAGTCGTAGAAAATAAAAAGGAAAAGAAAAAAAATAGTTATAAAGTTGCTCTTCTCTATATTTGAAGGTATCAGTTTGAATTTTTGTCTATATTATCAGGTTTAGCTTGATGTTTAACATTGTCTTGGCCACTATATTGAGCTTGCAATATAGTGCACATATGAACATAATAATGTGCAGAACTAAATTTGAATTTGAGTCATGGCCTTGACTTTACCGATGACTGAACCCAAGTTCCTTGGTTTACGTTTCTGCATTATAGATATATTCTTTAAAAACAAAAATGTGTTTGGTTTAGAATAAAGTTGTAAAGGAGCCGAGCTGAGATCGAGTTCTTGATGCTCGAGCCCTTATTGAGTGAGTTGAGTTGAGCTCGGCTCGTGTGGATATATGATGAAAGTTCAAATTATTATGTAAAATTTCCTATCCATTAAGTCCAACTTGGCTTGTTTATCACAGTCTGACCCAAATTCGAGCGCTAATGAGCCAAGCAATGATAAGCTCACGAAAGGCTTGTATAGTATTGTTTGACAGCTTTAGCTTTAGTTTAGAATAAGGAAATTAAAAAATCGAATTATCTTTGTAAACTGCAAGATGAACAACTTTGACGTGTAGTTTAGGTGCTTCCATTTGTATTTTTTCCACCACATACACGATTGCAAGCTCGTAATTAGCTTGCATTATGTCTCACGAAAGTTTGCAAACGCCTTTTGGACTCACTCAGGAAACTTCATGTTTAGAAGCGCAAGGAGGGAAGATCAACGCATACAATTTAGAGAAAATCATTCTCTGCCGTACAATTTACGCAAGCAACGTATTCCCCCAATACAATTTTAATCAATAGTCGACTCCAATTTTTCATTTGATTATCAAATTTAGCAGTTTATTAATTCTTCAAAACTTTATTGAGATGGTGACCGAGAAGTGCATTTGCCTTCTAAGCGGGAGTTTCTGAGCGGAAGTTTTGAGATGTAGAATCAATTGTTGCGCTCATGAGGTTGAAAAATCTTAATATCAAGAGCTCACGTTAAGTAAATTATTGTATTAAGGGTGAGCTTAGCGTAGTGTATTTTGTTGATATCAAACATTTTGTGGAAAATTACTATTTTTTCTAGGCAAAAAATTAAAGCGGTAATAATGATAGAATACGGTAATAATGTGTTCTGAAGATAATGTGCTGATAATGTGTTAATCCACACCAATCATAGTCAGAGAAATATAGAATATAAAAATATGATAAATAAAAAATATGATAAGAATAGTCAGAAAAGTTTATTCTTCATTTATCGGTATCAATCCTTATCCATAGGCTTTATAATGTAAAATACCTACTGGCCTAATGTAAATTAACAAGCTTCTGACTCACACTATAGTTTAGAAATGCCGACGCGAGAATATATTTGCAACTGTGTCCTGTTACGCAAATTGTCTCAAGACCAAGTTTGAACTACAATCCAAAGTTCAGACCGTTTGTCGTTTTCGATGACCTGCAAAACGCCAAAAAGGGTCTCACTGAAAAAGGTTCCGACGCTCAAGTCAGTTTGTGCAAAGAAAATAATAAGAGCAGTTGTATATAGTCTCTGCGTATGTGCGTGTTGTGTAAAATGAGAACGTGCATACCCTTTTATAATTAAGGTTGCTTGTTGACCAAGAGATTCTTGGTATAGTAAGAAGTCTTTTCGTATCTTCCTTCGTAACTAACTAGATCTACCCATACATTTTAATGTACACTTCCCATCCATAAGGAATTCTATTTGTGCTAGCTGTGTGACTTCTAGGTCTCCAGATCACACTCCTAACTTTAGTACCTTCTTATGTCATGTCGAGATCGAGTTTCGATCGAGCTGTGTCAAGATCGTCATCCAATATTCCGAGGTCGACTTCCTGGTTTTGACCTTATGATATGTCTTATTTACTCGAGGTTGGAGGTTTCTTCACGCCTGGGCTATGTGTCCCTCTGGTCCCCATCCCTCAGACCATCTGAGTCTTGTCCTTGATCATTCGAGGCCAACGAAACGGACTGAGCTCTCTTGAACTGTTCAATATCGAGCTTAACACTTCTGGCGGTTCGACCGAGTTATTCTGAATGCTATATCCGAGGAAGCACTTTCTCATCAAATCAAGTCCTACTGTTTTTTATCTATCTATAATCTATAACTCTATTAAAAGGAAGAGTAATTTCTTGAAACTTTTGAATTGCTAAGAATGCCCTCACTAAAGATAAGTTTTAAGGTTAAGTTTTTAAACCTCCACTTAAATGTATTACTTTTATTCATTATCTTTTGTTTTTTATATTTAATTATATCTTTAAGTTTTTACGTATACAAAAAGATTATCTATGCAAATTTATATATTTTGAATAAATATTATATTCTTAATTATATTATTCAGCATTAATATATTAGGTTTCGGTTTGGTTATTTAAAGGTAGTTTTTAAATGTGAGAGAAAATATTATTTTAAAATTTTTTAAATAAAACATATTTTATTTAGTAAGTGAAAAATATATAATGCACCAATGATAGTATCATCTCTAATTTTCAAATATCACATTAGTTTACTATACAGACTTTTTGGTTATAGTATTAAGAAAATTAAACAAAAAATTAGTGAAGAATGATTGAATCAAAAGCAATTCTTTAACATACAAAATGTCATTTGTGTGGAAAAAAATTATTCATTAGGGAAAATAATATAATTTTAATAAAAATATTTTGTTTAAATTATTCACTAAAACAATATGCATAATATGATTTAAGCTTATCTGTTAAGAGTAGATATAGTATGTATAGTATAAATGTTCTTTTATGATAATATGTGTTACATAAATCAATCTACAATTTAGTTTAATTGAAATGTAAATGAGAATAGACTAATTATAAAAATAAAATAAAATGGCTAAAATCGATTTTAAATCTGAATTTCAATATAAGTGTACTTATTAGAAAATATATAGCTACAATTAAAATTAATTAAATAAAAATAAATAATATATTTACTTTAAATTTATTGTCATTAGCCAATCTTATTTATAAAATTATTTACAAATTAAATTTTTTATTTTTATCATCTCTAATTTTCAAATATCATATTGTTTACAGGAGACTTTTGGTTATAGTATTTACAAAATTAAATAGGAAAAGTTTAGTGAACATGTATATGTATAAGAATGATTCAATCAAAAAATAATTCTTCAACAGACAAAAGTCATTTATGGGAAAAAAGTTATTCGTTAGTGAAAATATATAATCTTTATAGAAATATTTTTTAAAATTATTCACTAAAACATATGCATAATATGATTTAAGTTTGCTTATTAATAGTCTGTATAGTGTAGATGTTCTTTTATGATAATATGTGTTCCATAAATTAGTCTACCATTAAATTTTATTGTAATATAGATAAAATAGAGTAATCATAAAAATAAATTAAAATAACTAAAGTCAATTTTAAATATGAATTTTAGAATACGTGTAGTTATTAGAAAATATATAGTTACATTTAAAATGAACTAAATAGAAACAAATAATATATTTACTTTAAATTTACTGTCATAAGTCTATCTTATTTATAAAATCATTCACAAATTAAATGTTTCAAATCATTTCTCAAAAGTAGAAAAAATAAACTATATAAAAATTATTAAGATAAAAGTAAAATATGAAAGAATCATCATTTATAATTCATTTAAACTGTATCTTTTTTTTTTTTTACATTTAGGATAGTCTTGAAAATCCATGAACGAAATGATAATGCATGCATGACAATGTTAGGAGATGCAAAAAATTATTTGTGGTGGACAATACATATACTTTCAATCAACCAATGTTGGACAATATATATAGATAGGTGGGTACCTTTAATCAGTCAAGGATGTTATTGTTTCAAATGTTTTTCAACTAAATTTTCTTTTTGAAATAATTACGATTTAAAAGACATTTTAAAATATTTATTCATCTCTCTTAGTCATTATATCCATAGAGAAATATATCTCTAATGTTATGAAATATTATATTTGCAAATAAAAGTTGGTTAGCTTCCAATCAAAAATTAAAAAATGATCATTACAAATGAAAATTATACCAAACTCGAGTCATTTTTCAAAGAGTATGACGCAAACGGAAGACATTAAAAAACTAAATTGTGATGATAATAACAAGGATCATTATTTTAAGCATAATGAGGATATCATAAAATAACGAACAACATAGATAAGTATTTATAATATTACTAAAAAAAATATTAATTTATTTTATATTCGACCCAATGTTTTTTTGTTTAAGGAAAAAAATATTTTATACTATTAAATATAAATTTAATAATAAAAATAATTTTAAAAAAAAAAAACAACAAAAATATCATGTACGTACGTAGCACGTGCATCTTCCTAGTTAATGAATAAGTCATTAAGCCCCAAAATTCGTCAAATTTATGACCAAGTTCGAGGATCAAATCGCCAAATCCGCCTCTAAGTATCTATAATTAAGTCCAACCAATAGATAAGAATCAAATGATTTCATGGTATGATTTCAAACAATTTGGCAATTTTTTTTTTAAAAAAAAATACATATTTTCTATAATTATATACATT